GGCAGGCAGCACAACTGCATCTCACCCCAGAGCTCTCGGCTGCTCCTTTGCAGATGGGACCGAGAGGAAAGTACCAGAGGGGACAGTGTCCCTTCTAAAACCCAAGGAAATGGCTCCCTGTTCGTCTTGTTCAATGCTTCCCCACCACTTCTCTTCAGCTTCACGCTCTCATACTGAGTCCACTTGAACTCACAAATCCAGTGAGGATTGAGGGAAGTATAACGTCCTTTTTCTGGAACGAACTGATGTGTACTCTTGAATACAGACTGCTCTACGGGAAAGTGAGCCGCCGAAGGTGTTCCCCCATCGCCCATCTCTTCCACCTCACACCCATGCCACACGCTTTTCCCGTCCTGCTTGTGCCAGGGGGTCCACCCCCAGGACTCCACAGAGGTGCCAAAGAGCAGAAGCAGAACAATTTTTAACTGCCACTACATACCCCTGAAAGCAGAGCCATCCCAGGCTAATCCTCAATGACACTGAACTTCGCAGGAAAACAACGAGCAGTGAGGTTGACCTAGATCTATGTGCCTCAGATGGTCAGTACCACTCCTCATCATTCAACAACAAGATCAAGTTCGGTGATAGGAGCGACAAAAAGCAGCTTTTGCTGCTTTCCAAAACTTGCAGCAGGCTCCTGCCAGCAGGCAGCGGAGTGGCACGGATGCAGAAGCCACCCGGACAAGAACAACGTTGTGCAGGCTGAAAAATCTTTTTGGTTGAAGGCAGACGGTGGCAAGAGCTGAGTGGCGTGTCACCACGGGCAGAGCACAGCCTGGCATTTCCAAGCCTAGCGCCTCTGACTGCAAAGGGTAACATGAAGGAAGTTTGTGCTAGCAAACAGCCTGGATCATTAGCATCACCCACCACCTTTTGGTCGCAGAGGACGAATGATCCAGCCAGCGGAAGGGGATGTGCGTGACAGATGCAGGGGGGGGGCAGCCGGGCCCATGAGAACTCACATACGTTAGAAAAATGGTTGCAAGGAGCCAGTCTTACCAAGAAAGGCAATCTGCAAAGTCCTTTTTTGCACAGATTAGCACTTGA